ACTAGTTTCCCTGGCTCTGGGGGGTGTTGGTCCTAGAGACGCTCTGGCTAGGGGTGATTGAGGAGCTGGGTGTCAAGGGCGTAGGGCTGTGGACGCTACCGTACTCAATGAAGCCACCCATAGCGCGGTTTTGCATAGGTGGAGAGCTGTAGCTAGGGTGGCCGCCAGAGTGCTGTGGGAAACCGTTGAACTGGAGGGAGCTGGGTGGTGTGCGAGGATGTCCATTCTGGAGGTGGGGTTTTTGGCTGAACTGAGTCTGGTAGTTCTGGGCGAAGTTGCTCGCGCCTCCAAACTGTGGGCGGGCAGGGGTGAATCCCTGAGCCCGCTTCTGATCGGCACGATCCTTCTCTGGGCAGTCACGGAGTAGGTGGCCTGTAGACTTGCAATATAGACAGAGACCGTTGTCGATGCACCATTGCCTAGAGTCAATCCCAGGCGGTGGGCGCATGACAGTATTGTGAGGGCGTCCCTGAGCGACAGCACCAAGGTCCATAGCGTCGGGGTGGGGGGTGGGAGCTTGGGGTGCCTTCTGAGTGTGCTGGTCTGGTGCGTTGGTTTTGTTGCTTTGGAGGCGCTGGGCTTGAGATTTGTAATGCTGGAGTTCTTCCATGTCGGCATAGATATCTTGGAACAACGCACACCATCCCGAGAAGTCGTCTGCGGCGAGACTGCCTTTGCGGGTAAGGGCTCGATCGAGTAACTCAGGTGTGACCTTGAGCTTCAGAAGGTCGACCTTCTCAGTTGCGCTGCGGCGGGAGCTGTTGGCGTAGCGGTTGAACGTGGCGAGGAAGTTCGGGAAGTTAGTGTTGCCCATATTAAGCTTATCGAGCTCAATCCTAGCATTGCGAGAAAGATCGCCTGGTGCATGTAGCTTGTCCAGTGCCTTGAAGAGTTCCTCTGAGTCCTTCCATGCCCAGTTGGCGTCATCGTCGGCATCGTCGATAGTCAGAATCTCTTCCTGGATGGCGGTGTAGGCCACGGAGTCTAAGAGGCCGCAGATGTAGTGGATCTTCATAAACTCCGAAGTGAAGTACGCGCGATCGTTTCTAAAATTAGCCTTGATTTTGTTCGCGAAGGTGAGGTAGTTTTGCTGGCGCTTCGTGGCGTTTGATTCTGTGCCGGTGAACTTCTCGGGGTCGTGGGACAACTTGCGGTTGCGCGGTATAGCTTGTTGGAGGACAATCTGCTGGTAGGTTGCGACTTGCTGCTCTGCGGTCTGTGCTGCCAAGTTGGCAGTGTCGAGGTCATGCTGGCCGGCAGCGATCTGTTGAATGAGTCCGTTGGTTATAGCGATGATATTACCTAGGACGCCGCTAAGATTACTGGTGGGGCTGCTGTGGAGTGCTTGAATAAAATCCGCGGGGTCGTTGTCAAACGAAGCATTGTTGTTGCCTATAATCCATTGGGCAAGGTCGTCGGCTTGCCCGACAAGGGCTTGTCCCACGGCTATTGCCCATGCGCGTCGGGGTCGGTTGTCTGTCATGGTATACTGCGGAGTATTTCTTGGGTTGCGCTCGTGCGTAGAGGTGTCAAGGTTTCTTCGGGTTCTAGGTGTCTAGGTCTTTGGTGCTAGGTTGCGCTTCCTTTGGTCGTGGTTTCCGGGGGATTCAGAGGTCAGGACACCAGGCTGCAAACCTAGGTTCTTGCAGTGGGGTGTGTAGTTGTCAGACACTACAAACTATCACGGGGCCAAACAGTAGTCGCAAGGTAAGAACGCAGTTGTAGTGTAAAGGTCTATGTACAAGAGCACGGGGAGGATATGTACCGTAGGGTAGCAGGCGCTAGGCCAAGATAGGGATGGGGGCACGTGACCTACAGAGCGCCGAGTTGGTGCTGTGACACAACGGTGAACTAGAAGGCATTACTCTAGCTTTTGAATACGCAGCAAAGACAGCTACAAGAGACCAAGAATTCGAGATCTACGCAGACAATCAGGCAGCAATCTATAGGCTTAAAAACCTATCAGATAACCCAGGGCAACAATGGCAACTACGATGCCTAAAAGCAGCAAAAACAATCCGACAAAAACAGGCTACTATCCACTTACTGTGGGCACCCGGACACACAGACATAGTAGGGAATGAAAGAGCAGACTATCTTGCAAAAGAAGCTGCTAAAGAAGTCCCACAATCATCAACAAAAAGCATTGCCTACCTAGGCACTGTTATCAAAAAGATCGAACAAACCGAACAACGCCAAGAGTACCAAAAATACAAAACAAGAGCAACTACTCTAAACAAAAAGACCTACTCAGCAAAATTCCCACTCAAAATCCGAAAAACAATCCAAATACCACGCAGCACCAATCGAGAAATCTCTAGCGCCTTCTATGCTCTCAAAATAGGACACGGATACTTTGGGTCCTATTTAAAGAGATTCAAGAAAAGAGAATCTGATCTCTGCAGCTGCTCGCACACCCAAACACCAGAGCACCTACTTTTACAATGCTCTCTATACAAAACAGAAAGAAAAACTCTCATACAAGCAATCAATCACCAACCAGCTACTCTACCACTACTTCTCCATACTAGCGCCGGTATAGAAGCCACTTTAGCTTTTATTACTAGCACTAGAATAGGAACAAGAAAATGGTACCAAGGACAGCTGCTAGACGACACACAGAGATGTGATGGATCAAACCTACGATCCCTCACGCGATCACGTGCCATACAATCACGTGCCACGCTGGCAGTTGGCCCGTGCGAGGAATAATAAAGTTCCCCTCGTACTTGTATATAGATCTGTACACACAATCTCACTTATTAGAGGCATCCTAACTATTGCAGTGTACTAGTGCCTTTACACTATTGTGTGTCAACCCCTACATACCTAGGATACTTCGCATCAGGCTCAGTTATCAGAAACACCGTCCGCGCCGAGCGCCGCCGCCGATTGAGCAACTGCGACTTGCTACATCGGGCAGAACAAGACGTTCTGCGACGGGTTAGGTCTTGACGACGAGGATCGCAAAGTATTGCGCTAGAAGCCCACGGGTGGAGACACCAGGCTCAACAAGCAAGTATTGCTCGTGAGGGTTGTCACCAACGCTGGTAGAGGACAGGTCCACCTACATCAACGGACAAGTAGGCAGAGGGCAAGGCATCGAGCTTCGAGAAGCGCGACCCTACGGTAAGCCCTGCGCAACACACGAAAAGACCAGAGACACCAGGCTCAACAGGCAAGTATTGCTCGTGGGGGTTGTCACCAACGCTGGTAAAGGACAGGTCCACCTACATCAACGGACAAGTAGGCAGAAGGCAAGGCATCGAGCTTCGAGAAGCGCGACCCTACGGTCAGCCCTGCGCAACACACACGAAAAGATCATCGCGATGGCAAACCCGGCCAATACCCAGAATACCCAAGGTACCTCAGCCACCGGTGCCACCTTCGGGCAAGCTTCCCAGGATCCTACTCAATCACAGATGGGCCCGCCTCTCGTACCAGTACGAGCTTGCCTCTCCAACCGCCGAGAGAGCATGCTTCTGGCAGCCCATCCGTCATCCCAGCCATCAGTATCAGCTAGCGGCGACCTAGAGCCCATGACTGCTACACGCGAGATTGTCGGCATCGAAATCAACGACGTCCTGCTCGAATACCTCAAAGATTCTAACTACGTTTACCTCCGTTATACCGTTGACACCGAGTGGTTCGAATTACAAGAGGATCCCGAACCTGACGAGCACAGCAATGCCTTTTACTCCCTTAGCACAGGCCGAATCCGCACTGATGGCAACATCACCCACAACATCAACGACTTCACTGTCACTAACTCTAGTAACCTCCAGAAGAACGTGAAGGATCGTCCCGACTTCTGGTGGCGATTTATTGTCTCTACGCTAGTCTCCCTACGCAACTGCACTGACGCCATCAATAGGCATCTGCAGACTGTGGACCGCAATGAAGGAGAGACTCAAGCTCTACGAGACCGACTAGCGAATGTTGAAGCAGCCCTTGATGAAACTTCGAACAGTAAACAACTACAAGTTGGCATGGTTAGCAGCAACCTGTACAAGGAGAAGCTGACAGAGATCCTGTCGAGACGCGGTGAGAGCCTTCACTAGTATTCACGGTGAATCAGGCTTCCCGTGCTCTGATTGGCCAGGCACTGATTAGTCAGCTGCTCCGTGCGCGCACCATAGATATTCTCCCTTCTCCCGTAGCTCCAATACAACAAGTTCACGCACGTTTTCTCCACCTTCATCAGGTTATGAGCCCTCCTCTATCACGATAAAGTGCTCTAGAGGTGCGATTTCCGCAGCAGCAGAACCGATCAGTTGAACACAACATCAGTCACTCGCGCGACGACGACGACGATAAAGTCACGATGGCGCCATCCACAGCGATGGACGCGATCCCAAAGCTACAAGCAGATGGTAGCAACGCTTACCACTGGGAAGCAGCATTGAAGCTGTACGCAAATATTCACTCTATCGGAGGTCTACTCGACGGCAGCTACGTGGTTCCATACCCAGAAACACCTCACTATCAAACTGAACCGACAACTACGTCATCGGCATTCAACACGCCACAACTTCTGCTTGACGCTCAACAACGCGTACGAGCCCACAACAAAGAAGTTACTACACAGTACGACAAAGACTGTGAGCTCTATCGTATCTACAACTCCCGAGAATCGTCTCTCACCTTGGCCATACTTAATACAGTACCAAGATCAGTATGGGACAACGTCATGAACCTGCCTACTGTAAGGCAGAAGTACGAAGCTATTACCGCACGCTATCGTGAACAAGGCGTCACTGAAGAGTGTACTATCTGGGCAGATTTCTTCAAGCTGAGAGCTCAAGACTGCCCCTCTACAGCCAACTTCACCGACAAGTTCAAAGCAGGACTTGCAAAGCTTGACGTCATCGCAGACTGTAAGCTATCTAACAAAGCTCGAGTGTATCAGTTCATTCTTGCTATCAACAACGCCTACCCGGACTACGGACGCGATCGCCGCGCTGATCTGCGCCGCAACGTTACTCTGAACGTCGATCGCATGTGTAGCGAGCTTATTGACGAGGCCCGCCGCGACGACCCAATCAAGACCATTAACACGTCTATCCGAGCTTCTGGGGGTGACAACAACCGCAGTCAGCCTCTTGGTGATAACAACGACGCCAACAGAAGCGCCACCCGTGGCCGCGGCAATCGAGGCAATGGGCGAGCCCAGCGCGGACGAGGTAGAGGTTCTGAGGGTGCGACTCAGAGACCTACAAATACCTCCCCATACTGCAAGCACTGCGACTGCAACCATACTGGAGGAGGTGATAACTGCTGGTACACCTTTCCTCACCTCGCCACTGAAGCCTGGCGTCAGCGCCAAGCTCAACAACAAGGCAAACAACAGCCTACTAGCACCAACGCCGCAGCTATTAATGCTGAAGGCTTTGCCTTTACAACGGTTCATTTGTCAGAGAAGGTACAGAGTCTCACCAAGGAGACCTCTAACTTCAAACAACGATTTATTATCGATACTGGAAGCAGCGATCACATCTGCAATGATCGCAGCAAGTTCCAAATTCTACACGACACTGCTCCTGCTATAATTAATACTGGAGCCGGACCTATTACTGCCAAGCAGGTAGGTACTATTCAGATCACTGTCGTCACGTCAGAAGGTGTACTCAACAAGGTCTCCTTCACCAACGTGCTATACGCTCCGGACATGTTTGTATCAGTCCTCTCCCACTCCAAACTACGAGCAAAAAATCTCTATTACCACGGCTGGGACAGCAAGCTGTACCTCATGCCATCACGACAAGAGATCGCCTTCACACCTGAGATCGACAAGATCCCTACGCTCCTCCTCGCCAACATAGAGCTTGAGGCAGCTCGCACGTTTGCCTTTGCAACCGCCGCGACAACCAACCCAACAGGTGTACTCGCTCCCTATCGCGAGATTACTCTCCAAGAGCTCCATGAGCTGTTTGGCCATGCCGACCCCAAAGCTCTTAAGCTTCTTGTCGCCAACACCACCGGCCTACGTCTCACTACAACACAGGCATTCTCATGCGAGGCCTGCATGTTATCCAAATCGAAGAAGCAGATCCCACGACGGTCTCCAGCCCGCTCAACCACGTTCCTCCATCGTATTCATATCGATATTGTTGGACCAGTGACGCCCGAAGGTGTCAACGGTGAGCGCTACTGGATACTGTACACCGACGACTACTCACGATACCGCTGGATTGATATTACAGACTGCAAAGCAGCAATCACATCTAAGCTTATACAACACCTGGACAAGATGGAAACTCAACACCACGTTCGAGTGTCGATCGTTCACATGGACAACGACAACATGTTCCTCAACCAGACGACTGGGCGTTACTTCAAGGACAAAGGCATCATCTCCGAGCCTTCCACCGCCTATACACCCCACCAGAATGGAGTCGCTGAAGCCAGCAACTACGTAGTGGAGGTCCGAGCACGCACAATGATTTTGGCGGCGCCTCACATATCTAAGTCATACTGGCCATA